CTTACCTCCAGTGGTATCTAAACATGCAGATAGTAAGTGATTCATTTAGCTGCTTGCTGTGAGTACATTTTATATTAACTTAAAAGTTTATGTCAAACTTAAGACACCTCTGCAAACTGCTTTTCTAACTGATCCACCTAAACAAGCCAAAGTAATTTAAACTATTGTGTATTAATTAACATCATATCAAACATTGTCTGTCCTTCGAGTCCATGTGAGAGTGGTTCATGAGAGGCATGTACGTTTCCCACGTCTCCAAGTTCTGCATTTCTATGCAAGCAAATGCAACCTGACCACAGAGATAAGAAATACCAAGAACAAAGATATGTAATTTTCCATTCTCTCTTATAATTAATACAGTTCTCTTCATCCTCTTCAGTTAAACTGCCTCATGGGTTCACAGGTCAATGCCTTCCTGTTCCTTCACTACACCTGCAGACTGTGTGACTTCCTCAGTGCTCAGAGAGATGAACTGTTATTCTGTTCTTAATTTAAAGTGGACCTATCATGCTATATTTGAATAATATAGTGTAGGACCATACCTATATAAGGCATATTTATACTTTTTATTTTTCAAAATACCAAACAGATCATGCATTTTAGCCATTCCTCATTTCGCTCAATTTAACACTGTCTTTGCATCATGGGCTGATTCTGTGAGAACAGCACCATCTACAGGCCTGATATATGTACTACAGCGTCTCCAGCGCTTTCCAACGGCAATGTCCGTGGCTGTCTCCTCCTGATTGGTGGAGTTGGCCCAATAGCCGTAGCGCCACTTCTGTGACGTCATAGAAGTGTTCAAATCTGGATCAGTCTGTATCAGATCCGCTGCAGCCCCTTTTTAAGAGATTTAGGTATGGAGGAAAATAGAGAGGGTTGTGTTTTCTGACTCTTGGTGAGTTCCCTGGAACACCGGGGACACATGTTCATGTACACAAGACGTACAAAAGTGCATTTTGCATGATAGGTCACCTTTAAATTAAAAGGTTAAATAAGTAAATATATAATTATTTTCAAATAAAATACAATGTGTTATAATTCTCAAAATTAATAATAATGTCTTATTTAAAGTTAAGTTACTTATTCATTTGTATTATATATATCTATTCAGGTGACGACGCCCCGCTGCAGCGCCAGAGAGCTGGACGAGAAGCCCTCCATCTTGATCCAGACGCTGCAGAAGAGCGAGCTGTCGCACCAGAACTCTCTGAGGAAGAGGAACTCCATGCGGCGAAACAACTCCATGCGTAAAGGCGTGGCGGCGGGGGGGAGCGGGGGGCTCCGGAGGAACAACTCCGGCATCGCATCCACTAAAATGCAGTTCTTCAGCCCCGGAGACGGAGGCCAGAGCATGAACGCCGTCACCTGACATGAGGCCGGCCTCCTGCTCCTCCTGGTGGTGAGGAGGATTCTGGGAAATGGAGTTTCTCCTTCTCTAAGGGACTCGCTCTCCTCCTGTTCCCTGCCTTATCTAAACTCGTCTCCTAACACTTGTATTTCTTTTATGTTTTTTTAGAATAATATTTCAAATCTTGCACTTCATTTCCGTCCCCATTGAACGTCACCGCAATCCAATCATTTTTATCTCTTAATCGTTATAATTAAAGCAATAAATTACGATCATTGGTGCCTTTTTTGTGTATTTTCTTACTGATTTAAATCACGGCTAACTACTATTAGTGGAAGCTAATGGCAATAAATCACCGTACTGTAGGTGTGTGTTTTCACTTGAACTGTCTGTGTGTTGTTGGGGAATAAATGCACTTCTTCTTAACATCACCTGGAACTGCTCAAATGCTGCTTCATTCATTAATCTTCCATTTTCAGAAGTCGTTTTGTTTGATTTTATTTTGGATTTTGTCACTTTTTCTCATTTTTAAAAGGTTTACATATATTAGTATTTTGGGGTTTTCTTTCAAGTCAGTGAATATTACTTTAGCATAGCACAATAAACAGTGTCGGGGTATTACATGTGCATTTAGTTTATACAACCAAACTTTTGCATTATTAGAAAATGTACAAAATGCAAGGAAATTTGAATATTAAATGAAAAATATGGACATAGATTAAGAAGTTTTGGCAAGAAAATATCATCGTAAAAAAATATATTAATGCATATAAAGGTTTTTTCTTAGTAAGGTCACTGCATGAATACACCTGCTCCACAACCTCTTGTCTAATGTTATGTTACAATGAAAAACACTTTAGGATAATCCCTTCATGACCATACATTTTACATTTCCTGTAATGTAATGATCGATGCACAAGACGAGTACTTTTCTTAGTAAACACTGTCAAATACTGTATTTAAATTGGAAATAGGATTTTTAGGTCTTTAATACGATAAGATAACATGGACCTTAGTCAAGAGTAAGAGTGAAATAAAGGACAGTACAGATAAGAGTTCACACAAGTATAATACAATAACAATTATAACTGTTAAAACAAGATATCACAACATCAAGGTAAAACGTTGAGCAGTATAACATATATTTAGTCCCTCATTGTATTAATAATATATACAATAAATATAAATAATACATACAAATATAAAGTACATGTGTCTTTCCAACACATGAATTTCTAACAAAAATGAAAATATAATATAAATGTTTTATGTGTTTGTATTTTGGTATCTTGGATCTTACGTACTCTTACGTCGTGTTACGTCACCGTGACGTCGCGTTACGTCACCTTGACGTCGTCGCCCCCGGAAGTGAGTCTGAGAAGGTGAAGCAGAAGGTAAACATGGCTCACAGTTTCCTCTGCAGATCTGTCGGAGTGTTTCAGCTCCTCAGGACTCAAACCCCGCTCTCAGGAACCCGGTTTTACTCTCACACAGAACCGGAACCGCTGACGTTAAGACAGCAAAACAACGGAATCAGGTGCAGTGAAGAAACGTGTGCAAACTCTGATTCCCAGGTGCAAAAACAGCATACTTATGAAGATAATGTGGATTTTATCGCGTTTTACTACACCAAACAGCACGTCATTCCTCATGCAATTAGCTTATTGTTAAATCGGCTTATAGATATATTTTAAATGAAAAATCAGTGTTAGTATGTGGCTCCTCCATTCATTATTGCACTGTTAAATCCGCGTTTCCTTACCCAAGGTCTGGTGGTGCCACTAATAACATACTTTATATACTACTGAGGACTTTAATCTATGGAAACATATCATTAATAATGCAAAGGTAGAAAGTATGTAGCTATATTGATTCATAGTTTGCACTAAACTGCATTTTGAGGTACTTTTTTCGTCTTCTAGACATGTAATATTTTATTTCTGGGCTGATATAATTTTTTAGCAGCTTTAATATGCCATATGAACAACAAAAATAAAACCTATACAAATAAATGGATTAAACGTTCAAACATTAAGTTAAATAGATCAAATGTGCTCCATCTTGGTCAGCACAGCTGTTACATTATCATACATTTTCTGCACATTTTCTACATTTACTTTTTATTAATACAGTATTTTGCACATTTTTTAAATCTTTTTTATGAGCTTGGATTTTGGTAAACTACATTTTTCTGTGAACTACCACAGTACCCTTCAGCCTTTTAATAAATCTAGCTTTCATAACTGAACAAAGAAAGTACATTTTTGAACAGAGTTTAGTCAAAATGTACGAGGAAGTGGAACATCATATCTGGTAAAACAGGTCGTACAAGTTGTGTTCATTTTTTTTGACTAAATCTGGGAAGCATATTAAATTCCTCAGGTTCAAATGTTAGTAGGAGTAACTACTAAAGTTCAAAGTGACTAAACTTATTTGGTGTTTTTCTATCTCCTGCATTTTTCTATAACAAACACACATTTGTTGTATTCCCTAGAATGAATTGCAGTAATGTTTAAAGGCTGCACATCCCTGTACAACAATACAAATGTAATAAAGATTGTCTGTCACACGCTGTCTGGCGTTAATACACAAAACAAACCTTTAAAATGTAAAACTCTTCTTGTCTCAGGAGAATAATATTGAACAACCCCAAGAAGAGGAATGCTCTGTCTCTGTCCATGCTGGAGTCCCTCAGAGAAAACCTCCTCACTGACGTCGACAGCGATGATCTCAGAGTGGTCATCATATCAGGTGAGCATCATAAGGGAGTGTGTGTGTGTTTATTTAATTTTGTAATGTGTGTGTGTGTGTATGTGGGGGGGGGTTTAATTTTGTAATGTGTGTGTGTGTGTCAGCCAGAGGTCCAGTGTTTTCCTCCGGACACGACCTGAAGGAGCTGACGTCGGCTCAGGGACGAGAGTATCACACCAGAGTGTTTCACACCTGTTCAGAGGTCAGTGTCTTACACACACACACACACACACACACACACACACACACACACACACACACACACACACACACACACACACACACACACACACACACACACACACACCACACCGCACCACACACCACACACCACACACCACACCACACACACACACACACACAGCGTCTGATCGTGCATCCTCTTATTTACTGTTCTCTTTAAATCGTCTGTGCTCCACTGAGTGCCGTTGACGATGGGGGATTAATGTGAAATGGACATTGAGACTGGAAAATATATTTTCTTCCCTCACAGTAAATTCGTTTTTTTTATTATAAGACAGACAAGCTACAAAATATATAAATATTAACAATATAAAAAAAGGAAAAATACAACCAACCCAAGATGGTGCCACGGATGACTACCTCTCTTTTGTCTTGTTTTACCAATTTCAATTCAGATTTTGCACAGTACTACACATGCAGTAATGCACATATTTAATTTTTCTAAGTAATTTGCTTTCATATTTTACTTACTTTGTTGTATATTCATATTTCTTGTTATTTTCTCTATTTACTTTATAATAAAAACATATCATTTTTAAAATGGCTCTTACTGTGTTTATGTTATACATCTTACCTACTTGGCAATAAACCTGATTAAACAAGTTAATAAATCCTCTGTTTCTATAAGCTATATTATTTATTTTATTTACTAATTATTAATTGAGTTCTCCCGTGCTCCAGGTAATGAATCTGATTCAGGACATCCCTGTTCCGGTCATCGCCATGGTGAACGGCGTTGCCACGGCGGCCGGTTGTCAGTTGGTCGCCAGCTGTGATGTTGCCGTGGCGACAGAGCAGTCCACTTTCGCCACCCCGGGGGTGAACGTCGGTTTGTTCTGCTCCACGCCGGCCGTCGCCATCGGAAGAGCCGTGCCCAGGAAGGTGAGATTATATCAATAATAATAGTTTCTTAAGATTCATTTACTTTATTGTCTCAAAAATAATAATGGTATGTGCTAATAAATAAATGTTATGGCATATTTGTATTTCAATTATAAAACATATATACATTAAGAGATATATACAACATATAATATATATATAGATTATATATAGAAATATAAGAGTACATTTTTTTTATTTCCCCCAAAAAATAAGCAAATAAAAAGTAAGAAAATGTCGAATTAAAGAAGAAATAATCATTTAATTTAATAATTAAAAAGAAAATGTGTTTATTTTCTAAATATAAAAAACAGACACATCCAACAAATGTAAATTATAATTTTTCATTCACTTTTATTTTATTGAGGTAGCAGCCAATAAGAACATCCAGTTTCCCGTCCTGATTGCTTCCCTTTTTCTAACCAGGTTGCTATGGAGATGCTGTTAACAGGAAGTCCCCTCTCGGCCCATAATGCATTGCTGCACGGTCTCATCAGTAAGGTTGTGCCGGAGGATCGTCTGGAGGAGGAAACGTTATTGATCGCTCAGAGAATCTGTCAGGCGAGTCGCCCGGTCGTCGCCCTCGGGAAGGCCACGTTCCAGAGGTGAGATTTTAAAGAGTCCCTGTAAAACTTTCTTGGGTTTTCCCTTTCCTGTAGTGAGTTATATTGGTTTTAGTGCATGTAAATGGTCTGCAAAGGCTAAAATACACCTGAACATGAGCAGGAGAGGACTCTTTAAAGTAGAGACACTACATACTGATATACACCTGAACATCAGCAGGAGAGGACTCTTTAAAGTAGAGACACTACATACTGATATACACCTGAACATCAGCAGGAGAGGACTCTTTAAAGTAGAGACACTACATACTGATACACACCTGAACATCAGCAGGAGAGGACTCTTTAAAGTAGAGACACTACATACTGATATACACCTGAACATCAGCAGGAGAGGACTCTTTAAAGTAGAGACACTACATACTGATATACACCTGAA